GCAGGTGGTGGGCAGAGCGGGCACCGGCGTGGACAACGTCGACGTGGAGGCAGCCACCAGGAAGGGTGTCCTGGTCATGAAGTAAGAGCAGGAGCATGGGGACATCCCTGCCTGCGCTCCTGGGGAGACAAGGGAGGCTTCAGCAGGGTGCCCTCCCCACCCATGGCACCCCATGGCACCACCCTGCGGATCTCCATCCTCACAGGGTGCAGACCCCATCAGCCTGGGGCTGACACACCAGTGACACCACTCTCCATCCCCAGCACACCCACTGGGAACAGCCTCAGCGCCGCCGAGCTCACCTGCGGGATGATCCTGTGCTTGGCCAGGTGAGCACGGGGCAGGACGGGGGGACAGATGTACGCCCCACAGCCCCCTGCCCCCGCGCTGACTGCAGCCTCCCCTTTCAGGCAGATCCCACAGGCAGCTGCCTCCATGAAGGAGGGCAAGTGGGACCGTAAGAAGGTAGGAGGTGGGCGCAGCGCCCCGGGCAGGACAGGGCGGCGGGTGCCCTTGTGGGGTGTGCTCACTCACTCTCTGCTTTGCACCCTAGTACATGGGCATGGAGCTGAACGGAAAGACGCTGGGCGTGCTGGGGCTGGGGCGCATCGGCAGGGAGGTGGCCACCCGCATGCAAGCTTTTGGCATGAAGGTAAGGAGCCAGGGCAGGGAGGAGCGATGGGGAGCAATGGGGAGCATGGACCCCCCTGGCCCAGCTGCCAGCACTGTGCCAGGCTGCAGGAGCGAGCGCCCACTCTGCCTCAGACCATAGGCTATGACCCCATCATCACCCCCGAAGCCTCGGCTGCCTTTGGCGTGGAGCAGCTGCCGCTGGAGCAGATCTGGCCCCGCTGTGACTTCATCACGGTGCACACGCCGCTGCTGTCCTCCACCATGGGTATGGGGCGGGCACCGGTGCGGTGGGGTTTGGGGGGAGCCAGGGCAGCCCCTCACCACTCACGGCGCTCCCTCCCTCCGCAGGGCTCCTGAACGACAGCACATTTGCCAAGTGCCGCCGTGGTGTGCAGGTGGTAAACTGTGCCCGCGGCGGCATCGTGGACGAGGGTGCGCTGCTGCGGGCGCTGCAGTCGGGGCAGTGTGGCGGGGCCGCCCTTGATGTCTTCACGCAGGTGAGCGGGGCCGTGGGGACCCCCTGAGCTTGGCTTCGGCTCAGCATCACCTTAACTGTGCCCAAGCCAGGCCAGGAGAGCCCGGCAAACCCCATGGAGCCGGGGACAGCCCTCCCCAGCTCCCCTCCTTGCAAGGGAAGAGTGTGTAAATGCCCCCTGGGCTCCCGGGTGGGTGCTGGGGGCTGGCGGTGGGACGGG